GCAGAGTCTGACCTCACTTCCTCTTCCGCCCAGCATCCTATTCTGTTTATTCCTCCCACCTATGTTCTAACCTATCAGGGCCAGCCAAGCAGTTCCTTTATTGCTCAGCCAATGAAATCAACAGATTGACATGACACTCCCACATCAGATGTGGGCTGTGAAGCAATGGATACCATGTGGCTGTAGAAAAGAAGGGTACCCTGTCCTTTGTCACAATGTGACTGAACCAGGGAGACAGACACAGGGATATAAATGTGAATACAGTGTTTCTTTGGGACTCATTTGATTGGCCTTTGACTCCCCCACCCCCCACTGTTTTTATTTTTGTTTGTTTTTTGTTTTTTGGCTGACAGGGGTGAGGTTTTAAGACTGACTCACTATTTCCCACTGTGCAAGAATGTTCTGGCATGTTTAGGCTCACAGCACGGCATTGCTTACTGTTCTGTCCTCACTATGCCGTCCCCCTGATTCTGCCCATTGCTTCCCTTCATTTAATTTCTATCTCTTCTCCTTATCTGGCGTGGAGATCCAGCCTAATGCCTCTGTCTGCCTGCTGCAGCTGTGCACACTCCTGCATGAGTAAGCTTTTCCTCGGAAATGGTGCTGCTTTTCTTGGTTTGCTTTCTTTCTTTCTTTTTTTTTTTTTTTTTTGAGACAGGTTTTCTCTGTAGCTTTAGAGCCTGTCCTGGAACCCAGTCTGTAGACTAGGCTGGCCTTGAACTCACAGAGATCTGCCTGTCTCTGCCTCCCGAGTGCTGGAGTGAAAGGTGCACTCCACCCCCGCCCGGCTCAGCTTGCTTTCTTACGGAGAACTCTCTCTACTGCAGGATCTTACACATTTGTTCCATGGCTTCTCAGCTTTAAAAGAGGAAGCGCCCTGGAGGAGAGAGAGAACAAGATCGTGGTGAAGCAAACGGGTTACTTCTTCATCTACAGCCAGGTAGGGCCAGTCCTTCCCTTGGCCTCCCTGGTCTGGCGTTTTCGCAGGCTTGCACATCTGATGACGTCCTGGCTTGTTTCTCAGGTTCTATACACAGACACCATCTTTGCCATGGGGCACCTCATCCAGAGGAAAAAAGTGCACGTCTTTGGGGACGAGCTGAGCCTGGTGACCCTGTTCCGATGTATTCAGAATATGCCAAGAACACTACCCAACAATTCCTGCTACTCAGCTGGTAGGTAGCTGTCCTAAGACTTGCTTAGCAGAACAAGGTAGACGTTGCTAGGGGAATCTGGTCCCCAAATAGTGGTGCTTTGTGATCTTAATGGAAAGACCGTCTGTTGTAGACTGTGGTGTTTATTTTGCGATAGTCTGTGTTAATTGAGAAAATATCATCACTATGGTCAAACCATTTTTATAAAAATTAAGAAGGTATTAGGGCTGAAGAGAGAACTCAGCAGAGTAGAGTATTTGCTACTTTTCCAGAGGACCTAGGCTCGATTCTCAGCACCCATATGGCAGCTCACAACTGCCTGGAATTCCATTCCTAGGGGTCCTGACATCCTCTTCTGGTCTCCTTGGGCATTGTCCATGCATAGTACACATATATTCATACAGGAAAAATACCAATACACATGAAAAGTAATTAAATGAAATAAATGTGTTTTAAAGAATTAAGAAGGAATGTCACAGAGTTTTACATTCAAGCAATTCTTATTTTTCTTCTCTTGTGTGAGAATTTGTGCATGTCTGTAATGATTTTAGTCCTTTTTTTATCACTGTTGCAATTCCTTAACCACCTTCCCCTCCAATGCCCCTTCTTCTTCTAAACAAGCCCTCTCTTGCTTTCCTGTCTCCTTCTGGGTTAGCCCACTGAGATTAATTAATCACCGTTGCATCATGAGTGTGGGAGGGAGGTCAGGATCCTGGGCAGCTTTGTAGTAGTTACACCACTGAAGAAAATGACTCCCCTTCTCCAGAAGCTGTAGATAGTCTCTCAGGGAGAGGTGTGGCTTCATGTCAGCAAAGGCTGGTTGTTCCCCTGTTGCCCAGACCTGAAATAATCACACAGAAACTATATTAATTAAAACACTGCTTGGCTTATTAGCTCAGGCTTCTTATTAACTAACTCTTATATCTTAAATTAACCTATTCCTATTTTTTTATATTTTACTATGAGACTCATGGTCCAGTAAATTTCCAGGGCGTCTGTCTCTATCGGCAGCTACCTGGCGTCTCCTCAACTCCACCTACTTCCTCTCTCTCTACATCTCGATTCAGATTTTCTGCCTGACTTCACTCTTTTAAGCTATTGGCCAAAAGCAGCTTCTTTATTAACCAATGGCAATAAAACATATTCACAGCATACAGAGGGGAACCCCCCCCCCCATCAGCTTCATGAGCCCCTCCCTAGTCCATGAAGCAAAGCTGAGGGTTCCAGTCTTATTCTGGTCCTGTGCCTGCCACCATAGCTGCAGAGGGACGATTCTAAGGTGGCTTTTCTTCCATTGTGTATAAGACCAGCAACAGAAACAACGTCCACGCACTGTCAGAGATAAAGACCTGAGACACCTCTGGGCTTCCTTTTCCTGCTCAGGTCTCTGGCTGCTTCACCACCTGTCAATCAGGCTTCCTAACTCTCGTAACCTTCTCATCTCAGGGAAAACCCGATCTGCAGGAGTAGCACAGCTGCTCCTAAGTGCCCCAGCCTCCAGCTACAGCAACGTCTGGCCCCACAGTGTAGCGTGTGGAGGAAATAATGACTCTGGTCAGTTCTGAGTGTAAGGAAGGGCGCATTGCAGAATGGCTGGGTTCTTTCTCGTGGTTAAACAGGTGGCCTTGGGTGCATGGCTAGTTGTGAAGACAAAATTGCAGCAGCAGCCTTGCGTCGAGCTCAGGGAACACGGGGGCAGGTAGGAAGGTAGACTCTATCAGTTCCAGCCTGTCCACACTGGAATTGCCAGCATTTTCTTCATTTCATTTCAAATTCATTGACGCTGGTTTTAGATAACTGTTTTCCTCTTATGCGCGTGTATTTCTCTCTACTGGTCTTGACAAATCTATTCAGAACTCAAAGAATGTCTTTAGTCTCGGACGGTTATAAGCAAACAGCCACGTGAAACCCAGGATTGTGAAATGCCTCTAAAGTATTTCAAAGGCCTTTACAAACAAACGCCCAATAAATCAGCTGGAAGCAGAAGAGAACACAGCTCCGTCCCAGAGGCTGTGCTGTACCAGATCTGCAGCCTCCAGTGAGGTCAGTGGTCAGGAGGAAGTCTGTCATGTTGGAAGTCCCTCATTTTCATAGGTGTCTGTGCCCACTGCTGACAAGCATTTTGATATTACAAAAATATTTATGAATAAAAAGCTTCTTCACTCTGTTGCTCCCACTTGCTATAAAATGTCTCGGTTAACACTCCCCAAACATTCCAAATTGTTTCATTTCCTCACAGCTCCTTCCCATGGGTGGATTCTGATGAACTCCCCAGGCCCCTTACTTTTTTAAAGAGTAACTCTTTTGATCTTGAAGATACGTATCAGCATCAGCAGGTCAGCGCTGTGCATGAGAACCAACCAGCTCCAAGAAGTTTCAGGCTTGTTACTTTAATGCTGAGTTTGTCATATGACCCCACATGAACCTGCCCAACCTCAGGTGGTGAGCTTGAGACACCCAGCATGGCATCAAGGAACCTTGTATATACGAGGATGAGTAATTGATATGTTGATAAGTTGAATAGGCTTCTCAGAGGGAGGATTGTCACAGCTGATTTCTCCAGCCCAGAAGAACTATAAGGTAGCCGATAACTCAGGGTTGGGATTTGAGATAGGAGCCTATAGCCCATGTACACCCATTTCTAGAGCTTGCAGTGTTTGCTGTAGCCCTGGCCACAGTAGTACATCATGCCCAGTATCCAGGGCAGCCACAGATCTGCGCCACACACATGCTCTTATCTCTTTTCACACCTTGTACACTCATAAGGTAACTAATCTGTTCATGCTTTGCCAGTTTTGAAACACATAAGCACCGTGTATAGCATGTCTGCGGAGCCCTGTTGGTCTGTGTTGGTTACCTGACAAAACACCCAGGCACCATGTACAGCATGTCTGTGGAGCATTGTTGGTCTGTGTTGGTTACCTGATAGACAGATTGAGGTTCCTGTGCAGGATTTCATACTTCCAAGTCACAGAATACATTGTTATAAACTAGGCACAAACAGGCATCTCTATCAAGGAGTTTATTATTTTCTTTTGATCATAAAGATAACCACGGTCATTTAAGGAAATCCAAAGTATAGACGGTGGGAAGGAACTGTCAAACCAGAAACCTGGGTTCAGAGAAAAACTATTAAACAGTATAGATTGAAATTAAATAAGGGTTTTACTTTGTAGCTATTTGTTTATTTTTGGCCTTTTGAGACAGAGTCTCACTCTGTGACCTGGGCTGAATTTTAACTCAGTGTGTAGCAGGTTTAAACTTATAATCAGTAGTGAGATGGCTCAGTCCCTTGCCATGCAAGCATGACAATCTGAGTTTGATCCCAGAACCTGTGAAAAGGTGGAAAGGGAGAAACCAGCTCCACAAAATTGCCCTCTGACCTTCACATGCATGCTGTGTCCTGTGTCCATACATATCACGCATTCTTACTCGATAATAACTAATAAAATTAATAAAAAGGGGCTCCCATAATGTTAGGCTTCTTCCAAGCTACAAAAGGGTGTAGTTAGGACTGTCTGTCTGTCTATCTATCAGCTATTTATCTATCTATTTATATCACACACATACATATGCATAATTTCATACTTTTAATATTATTAAAAGTTTCCTTTAGTAGTGAAATTAAGCCACCGCCACCCATGACGATATGATTGTCTCTCCAAGAACAAGGTTTGACCTGCGTGACCTTGACGTTTGCCACCGGAATCCCTGTCTGTGCACACAGTGGACACACGTCTGCTGGAATCTGTTGTTTCTTCTCCTAATTTCCTCATTTTACTTAATTTGAAAGCTAACAGAATTATGAGCAATCCATATGAGAGGTCCATTGTGGGAGAATCGTGAATGCTCACATTGACGCTATAGGATAGCTTCCTGTAATGTGCCCGGTTAAGTGGTGACCACTGAGAACTCTTGTCAACTCCCTCTCTCCTAGGCATAGCGAGATTGGAAGAAGGGGATGAGATTCAGCTCGCAATACCTCGAGAAAATGCGCAGATCTCCAGAGACGGAGATGGCACCTTCTTTGGGGCCCTAAAACTGCTGTGACCCCCACTTCCTGGACTGCGGCCCCTTCCCTCCTTTCTCCTGGACCTCCACGAGAAAAATGAACAGCTGGAAATATCAAAAGACGGGGAAGTCACCGCCCAAACTTTCCTTGGGAGCCGTTTAGTTTGCTTCACTGAAACTGGTCCAAAACAGGAGATTTAACGGACAACCACGACCAAAACTTATCATGTGGATTACGAGAAATGCAGCCCGTGGTCTGGTAGTCATAAAGACAGGACCCAGAAGGCTGTGCTCTGCAGTCCGTGTCAACATGGCCAATGCCCTTGCTTCTCATCTTGGGAAACACACAGTTCAGAAAGCAGGAAGATTTCCTCAGAAGAGGACTCCGCAGTGAGCAGAGGGTCCATTCGTATCTGTAGTCGCTGAAACATTCCTGCAAAGTCTCAGGATTTATCTTTGGGACTCCGCAGTGAGAGGAGGGTCCATTCGTATCTGTAGTCGCTGAAACATTCCTGCAAAGTCTCAGGATTTATCTTTCTTTTCACTTAAATAGACTCTTCTTTTTTCCAGTTAATACTAGGGAAATTTTTGCTTGTTTGTTTTTAAATCTAGGTGTCTTGAACTAGTCATAGACAAAAATACTTAGAGGCTCAACTTTGGACATTTTAAAATAAACTTAATTTAAGATGTTTAAACTTCAAATAATTGGATAGAAAAGTGCTAACTATTGAAGTTTTCCTGGTTCAGGTCAAGTGTGCTATTGTTTCTCAAACCTTATCGACGTCTTTTTCATGGGAGGAAGGCAGTCTCTCATTTTGGATCACATGTGTATTTTGTAATAACGCTCAGTTGCTTTGTAAAACGTTATCGCAGACACCATCTGATGAGCACACAGAACCCATAATGCAAAACTGTGGTCATTCTCACCAAACCCCAAGTCGAGGACGCCTACTGTGAAACTGCGGTCATGCCCACTAAACCCTCACATCGAGGCCGCATCTGTAGCAGAGGAATGAATGCACTGTGCCTATGTCCAGTCTCATTGCATGCTGCTGCTGCTGCTGCTGCTGCAGTTCTTGTGATGCAGCCCTGCAGGAAGATCTGCCTTATTTGCTCTGTAATCATTGAGCAGAGTTCATAGCATCTGGCCTCATACAAGGCACATACATGCTCCCATGATAACTGTGCCTCAGGGGGTTCCTCACAGAGAATTGCACTTCACAGAGCTGTACATGCATCTCTCGTGGCGTCTGCTTCCTGTGTGTTAGGTCTTGTGTGTCATTAGTTGCTCCCACTGGATGCTTCACTTCACTAAAGAGGAAATGGAAGAAGAGACATCTATTTCCCCATCGACCTTAAAACAGTGTAAAGATGACCTTGCCACAACACAGGAAACAATTCGAATCTGTATCACAAATCTAATGTTGCTCAACTCTCCGTTTTCTGTATCTTTTGTTTTGGGGGTTCAAGTGAGATGAACTTGGAAGTTTATTTTGTTTTATAAAACAGTAATTAGAAAGCAGAAGTGGTTGGTGAGAAGGGCATTGACTCAGAGGAACGGCTAGCGATTTCCATGGCGTTGCTGCTAAGGTTGATTGCCAAATAAAACCACTGTGCCTTCTGCCCCATCGCCTGTGTGTTTTGTCTGCCGACACCCGCTCTTGAGTTGTCTCTGTTCAACTGTAATCTTGAAAAATGAGGCGAGATAACATGTCAGGGCAGTAATGATCAAGTCTGGACATTTCACGCCTCTCCAGGGGATCTTCTTATGTCTACATATTATCACTATTTTTAGAGAATAAACTTCAACAAAAATGCAGGGTTTGAATAGGGGTGTTTTAGGGAAACTCCCAGGCCGGTCAGAAGAGGACCCATTTATAGCTTTCTCTAAGTGACCCTCACGCTGATTTCCATAGTTTCCAGTCGAGTTTCCATCCCCAGTGCTGAGTTTCCATTTGTCCACATCCCCGCCAGCACTTGTTACCCGGCCTTTTCGACCAGGGTGAAATGGGGTCTCATTGTGAATTTTATTTGAATTCTCTGGTGGCCAGTGATGTTGAATATTGTTTCATATGTTTGTTGGCTGTGACTGCTTCGTCATTGAGACCCTCCTGCTCATTTCATTAGCACATTTATTTATTTGATTGTTTGGTTTATTAGCATGTATCCATCAGTCTTGTTTGAATTCTTATATTGTATCCTGACTCTAGAGTCTTTAACTATGAGGGATCTAGATACCTGAGTTCCTATATATTCTACAGAACAAACCTCTGTCAGGTATATAGCTAGCAAAATTTTCTCCTATTCTGTAGACTGTTTATTTGCTAGAAATGTTGCTTTCATTGCCACAAAAAGGTCTTTCAATTTCAAAAAGTCTGAGTTTTCAACTGATGTGTTCTTTCCCGAGACACTGGACTCATGTCAGGGGCTTGCCTTTAGGTGTTTCCACCAATTTTCCTCATCAGCTTGCATTTCAGGTTTCAACATAATAAAGGCGGTATATAACCAACCTACAGGTAACAACATAATAAAGGCGGTATATAACCAACCTACAGGTAACATCGGGTTAAATGGGAAGAAAACATAAAACAAAACCAACTAAAACATTTCCACAAAAATCAGAGTGAAGAAGTGTGCCCACTTTCTTCACACCTAATTAATATCGTATTTGAACAACTAGCCAGGAGGCGAAGAAGAGTGAACTGGCTGGTTTTACGTCAGCGAAACATCTGAAAGTAAAATTTGAAGAGGTTTTTATGGTTTGGATGTAAGCTATTCCTACCCAGCCTCCTGTGCCAAACACTTGGTTCTCAGCTGGTCATGCAATTTGGGGGATTTGTGAGACCCTCACAGTGGAGTGGCATGGCAGGAAGTAGGTCACTGGGGTTGGTCCTATGCCGATTCTGGCCTGAACCTCTTCTTTGCTTAGAATTGAGGCTCTGTAGCTACACACTCTAGCTTCCATGAATTCGTCCATACCTCTGTGATGAACTGTACTCTTTCAGGCATGGACCCAAATGTGTCCTTTCTTCCTCCCCTGTTTCTTCAGTCAAGAATTCAGGTATCAGAAAAGTAAGCCATCTAAGGGTAAGTGTTCTTTTTAGGCACCTTGGGTAATAAAGGGGTGGGGGAAGGGAGGGATTAATGAGGGAAAGAACGGGGGAGGGGTGAAGCAACCTCCTGGTTCCAAACAGATATCTCCATCTTCACAGAAGACTCACCAGAGGTGAGTCTAATAGATCACCTTATAATGGGCCAGATGTGGCAAGGACTCCAGCGTGGAGGCCAAAGGTTTCTTGGCATTTAATTTAATAAAAGAGAAAGACAACCAGCATTTTGGCACCAAGTAACAGTAACAGGAAAACAACAGCTGGGAGATGGACGAGGAAGAACCATGCAGGCAAAGGGTCTGGTGACTAGGGACCCTCCATATTGGCTACCCTGTAGTGTAGGACCAGGACATGAAAGGTGGACAGGCCTGCAATGCCTGAGCTCACTCCAACATGCCCCTCCGCAGTGTTTTCCCCAGATAAGAGGAATCCCCCAAGTCTTCCCGCGAACTCTCTCTAGGGAGGGAGTGTGTGTTGGGGCCCAGATCACCAATGGAGGAGCGGACACACTCCATGTGAACGGCACAGTCGGGAGGGTGGGAAAGAACGCCCCTCTGCATTAGCTTCTCATTTCCAATAAGTTATTGCACAATATGTTCAGTGGGACTCTTGGAAATTAAAGAGAAGTAGTTTATTTCTTCCCAAGTAGGAGCCATGACATTAAAAGCAATTCCAGACCCTCTTCCAAATGTCACGGCAAAAATAAACAAAGCATTTCTAAAACAATGTAGCATCTAGCAAGGACTTCCCTTGGCCAGTCACAGAAGGTTGCCATCAGGGATTGGAGTGGAGACCTGCGGAAGTCACTGTGTTCACGAAGAGTATGAAATCCTTATTGCCTGGGCAAACAGGGACCTGGTGGCACCTCTGGGGTTTCATCTTACCTCATCCCAGGTGCTGCTGTGTCTTCATATGCTCCTTATAATTAATTATACAGTGTGAGTGTATGTGTGTGCACATGTGTGTACGTGTGTGTGTGTGTGTGTGTGTGTGTTTGTGTATACAGGGGAAGTCACAGACATCTGGCACTTAGGACAGGGCAAGATTTATGGAGAAATCTCAAAATGTGTAACTCTTGTCTTGATGATTGACAAGCTGCATGCGAAGCCCCCCCCCCCCCCGTTCCTTCTGAGAAGGTGTGTGGTCCAGCCAGAGGGACAGTGACTCTGGGGCCAAAGCTGAGACAAGCAGGGTGAACGGCAACAAAGCCGTGATGGGGCTGCTGAGGGTCCAATCCAGGCTCTCCCTCGTGTTGACGGAGTGTTCTGTTGCTGAGCAGTCCCAGGCACAGATGCTAACTATACTGAAATGTGAGTTTGACACAGACGCTAAACATCTTGAAATCATGTAACAAATAGATGTTTGGGTTTTGTGTCCAAGGTTGAAGGTCAGCCCACTCTGTCATATGTCTATTTCTGGCATTCCTTATCAAGAGGCAGCAGTAACTTTCCTTCCTCTTCTGAGACCTGGAGGACACAGAGCTTCAAGCACTCCGACGTGTCTAAGAGACAACAGCATGATGGTGAAAGACATGGAATCTGTCCAGGCACGGAGCGGAGGGTGCCTGGAAGCCAGTGTGTGAAGAGAAACAAGGATGTTTGTAGCAACACTTGTGCTGGCTATTGTTTTTGTGGTGCTGTGGCAGGTTTGTTCTGGGGACAGCTTCAGAGAGCTCTTGTTCCACCGTGACAAGGTAGACGTGGTGGTGTGAACATGACGGGGTGTGTTCCTTCACAGTGTGTGCAAGCAGAGACCTTAACCTGCTTCGGTGATCCCTAGTTGGCCTGAGTAGCCCTGCTTCTGTAGGGCGCTTGCTTCATGCAGCAAGCACACTCAGCTCCCTTGGCCTAGCTCCACACGGCATCTGCAGCTTTCCCTGGCAAATATTTCACTTCTGTAGCATCCTTGGGTCTACGTGGCAACCTAGATTGTATGTATGAAGCTTCACAAGTGTACTGACCCCTGATAGAGGGATCTCACTTCTGCTGCACACTGTCTGGGATTGTGGCTTGTTTTCCTGACCTCTGCTATTCTGTGACTATATTCAGCATGTCTGAAAAGCCAGCACCACACTGAGAACATGCCAGCTTCAGCTGCCATCGAGAGATGTAGCCGGTCCCCTCGGACCATGGCTGCGCTGGCCTCTGGGTGCTTGTCCACCTTCAGTTTAGTTGTGCGGATCTCTGCCAGTTAAGCCCTTTGATCTGCACTTGCTCTGCCCACATTAGCTCATTCTCCTTGCCTTGCCAAACCGCACACTTTTCAGATCCTGTTCTGATCTTTGGTGATGAATCTCAGTGTCAGTCTGGCTTAAAGCAACAAGAAGGAGCAATGCTGTAGCCTACATACTATGCTGCATCAACATTCCTATATAAAATCCTATATAAAATATATAAATCAATTAATTTATTAATTTTGAGTTCATATTCTCTCACCTTCATGGGCACAGGGTTCTTTGCACAAATTATACATGGCATGGTCTATAGTCCAGTCTCCCAGAAGGTTCTGTTCCCACATTAGCTTCATGAGTGCTGTCCTTGTGGGTCCACCTTTCTTCAGGCAGTCTAAGTGAGGCCCAGTTTATCCCAGGACACCTGTAGCCCACAGCTCCAGTCTCTCCCAGGTTCCTCCTGAAATTTATTTCCAAAGTTCTAGCCATCTCACGGGCAGGCTTATTTTTGCAATATTGATATTAGTTTTCTGTGCTAGTTAGCTGTCCCCATAGCTACTATACTAGTTAGCTGTCCCCATGGCAACTATACTAGTTAGCTGTCCCCATGGTGACTGCACTAGTTAGCTGTCACCATGGCGACTGTACTAGTTAGCTGTCACCATGGCGACTGTACTAGTTAGCTGTCACCATGGCGACTGTACTAGTTAGCTGTCACCATGGCAACTAAATAAAGGACAGAAACTATTTAGAGTGGAATAGTTTATTTTGGCTCCTGGTCGAAGAGAGGCTTCAGTTTTTCATGCTAAAGGTGTGGCAGGGAGACCTGAGTGAGGGGGCAGGTGCTCACACAGCACAGGCCAGCAAGCAGAAACCCTGCCTACACCCATGGCGTATGGCCTGTGAAGACCCAGCCCTAGTGACCTATTTCTGTCTCTCACCTCTTCAGAAAGGCCCCATGACCTTCAAAAAAGTATCCCAAGCTATGGGCAGCATTCAGACCATGGGACTGAAGACACTTTACTGTCGCACTGTGATGCCCAAACAAGAAAAAGGGAAGAAAAGAAGGAGCGGGAGGAGAGGAAGGCAAAGCATTTTCAGCATTTAAAGACTGAAATAGGATCAAATGTACAATTAACAGAGGACAGAATCTCCAGATTTTTTAAGAAAATTTCTTGGGATGCTGTACTAGGCTTTCTCTTTTGGGCCACCACCAGCTCTCACACCATGACATGGAGACTTACTCACTTTGAATGCTGGCCTTAGCTTAGATCGTTACTGGCTAGCTCTTATAACTTAAACTAACTCGTTTCTCTTTATCTACATTTTGCCCTG